AAATTGCAAAATTTTACTAAGTCAAGGACAGTATTTCTAAAAATACTAAAGACATCCCACGAAAATAGCCAGGTGCACACATAACATGCTGATCAACATTCCTGTAAAGTTCCACGACTCTTGGTCCAATCCTTTTTAAGTTACATGCGACACAAGTTGAAAATTGCAAAATTTTATTAAGTCAATGGCAATAACTCTACAAATACTATACAAATCCGCACAAAATACCCAGTGCACAACTACATATGCTGATCAACATTCATGTAAAGTTTTATGACTCTATGTCAAAAGTAGATAGATAATGAGGACGCCAAAAACCTCCCAGGAGGTGAAAAGACAGTGATAGTAGTGATCCTCTTTTCTCAATGTGTGCAGCTATAATCAAACTAGCGAAATAGCAGAACTTAAAAATACAAATGATTGTCTTTAACCCACATATCTGAAGACAAATAAAGACATATAAAAGAGTATCCTACTGTCCTGCAAGTCACAACACGCTTTTTTTATTGTCATACACAAAACGCGAGTTACATTTTTTTAAAAAAAATTCAATTCTAAATATGCAAAATTACGGTAGATCAAACGTGCAGAATTATATGCAAACATTTTTAGACTTAGCCGTTTCAATGCATGGGTCTGAATCTCAGGCCAATTCAACAAGCATCGGTATATTGTCTGAAGAGAAGAAAAAACTCGAAAATGATCTTGATAATGCTAAACAAGACATTCAAGGCTTCAATCAAACAATATTCACTTTAGGACAACAGCTAGAAGATAGCCAACAGGTTGTGCGAGATCTCAATAGTGAAATCGCTGATTTGAAAAATACAATTACCGGACTCAAAGTTTCATTAAACTTGTCTCGAAGCGAAACACGAGCATTAATGAATAAGAACGCAACATTAAGAATGAAACTTTTGAATACAAATTCTGACGGTCATGGTGAGGGGAAAAGCAATAATGGGCACTATTCCGATGTAAGCGATCAGGAAAATGAAGAAGGATCATATCAGTAGTGGATATAAAGCATATATAATTGAGAATGACTATATTTTGTACAAAATATGGTCTATGAAACAGATCATTAACTCGATTGTTTATACATGGATGGAATTGATGAATGTATTGATATATCTGATAACATAATATACGCTGCATTAAGTCGGAAGTTAAGTAATGAAGCAGAAAATGTATAAATATATATTTCAAGAAGGCGTTAACGAAAGCTTACTTGCTATCTTGCTGCGGATATTTTGTTTTTTCTCTTATTGTTTAAAATCAAATAAAGATTAATAAAATGGAACTGAATTGTTTAAACTGTGGTAATTTTTTCAACACATCGGAGAAACATAATTGTACAGCAAAAATTACGTAAGTTTAATTCTTGTTAATTATTACGATATGAGAAATAAATATGTTATTATAATTTAGAGATTAAAGCAAAAATTATTATTGAAGAATATTAATCTCTTTTTCGCAATTCACGCAATATTCATCTAACGGTAATAATATAATTACGAAAGAACTATCTTCTAGTCAACATATTGAATATGAAGATTAATTTCGGTTAAACCTTAACAAATTATTCGGTAAGGAAAGAAATGAAGAAACTTAATTTGATTTTAGTTTTAGGACTAGACAAGGTGAAGAGACGGATTTGTCGGGCAAACAAAATACTTCTGTGGAAGATAAAAGGTTAGTTGAAAAGATTTTTTGTTGTACTTTCTACGTCTTTTTTCTAATATAGATTTTTGATGAAACAAAATATAGAGAGTAATAATATATATTAAATCATATGTAGTAAAACAAATAAAATTTGAGAATTTTTAAAATTACTTTTAATTTCAAAATCTGTTATTTTTGTTTCAGAGAAAACTGAAAAGATGAAAAGCAATGTAGCAAGTGTGGGAAATGGTTGTATTCGAAATACACCAAATTGCAGCATGAAAAGCGTTGCGGGACTGAAAAGAAACGCAAGACAGACAACACACGCTGTAAATTTTGTCAACAATTATTTACTATGTATTCCAACCGTATGAGACATGAAAAGAAATGTAAAGACAGGAATTTTACTAGCTCAGGTGATAACATGTCCGTCGGTAAACAGAAAAAAATGGATGAAGAACCTAGACCTAGCACAAGCAGAGATCAAACCGATGAAATAAACAAACGTTTGTCAATTAATAGTAGTGAGAAGACTAAAAAATACGAACATTTGAAATGTAGGTTATGTAATTCGTATTTTCCGAATCATGTCGAACTTAACTAGAACTATCGCTGAATGCGATTCATACCCCCACCAATGTCCTTGACAGAAGACCACTTGGAAAGCCTTTAAGGTGGTTAAGGGAATAACTTATGTGGCACAAATACATAAAAAGAAATTATCTCTGGTGAAAAAAAGACTAACTGTACAGGTAATAGTATAAATATATATTATCAAATCATGTTCGAAACAGTTACAAATAACCTTTCATTTTCCCAATGTATTAAACATTTTATTTATAAGTCAATTTTTGACCTTCAAGTGTGACCTTGACCTTAATCTGACACAAGGGTAAGATTGGTTTTGCACATCACACAGTTTGGTTGAATATTTGAGTAAAGTTTGAAGAAAATCCTTCCATTAGTATAGAATTTATAGAGTAGACACAATATATTGTCTAGTATTGGTTGTACGTAAATTTGAAGACTTAAAAAGGGGCATAACTTTGTCCAAATTCAATACAGAGTAATGAAACTTGACCTGCATATCGTCGGTGGGGGGTCAAAATATCGTAACTCGGTTTTTTAGCAAAATGGGTTTTTGATGCCGCGAAAATTTAAACATACCAGCGCACCGTCTCCCAAAATAGTGTAGCTCTACACCAATGGAAAAGGCGAAAATTGTCACGTGACAAAATCTCGTGTGTCGATTGGATGATTTTGTTGTTTTTGTCAAAACCTCGTATCTTTTAAATTTCACAATATGTTGACGGAGAACGTTGGATAAATTGTTTTTTACATTCAAATCGGTAAGTTAAGTAGATTCTATTTTTGTACTTTCTAAATTACCTACTTTTTAAGGTTTTTAATAAATATGCTTAGTCATATCTGTTCAAAGAAGTGTCCTATTGCGGCTGATAGAGAAAATACATTAATTTTCATTGCTTATCTGTATATAATTCTTTCAATCGTTACTAATGTTTGAAATAATTAAACGTAAATAAAGATATTAATTTTCGCTAAAGATAATTTTTGTTCGATTTCTGACGTTTGATGTAATTTTTCGAGATACGAGAATTTGTCATTTCATTTTCAGATACTAGCAATCAAGATACGAGATTTTACGAGATACGATTATTTGGTATTTCATTTTCTTCCCGTTTTATATCGAAATACGATGTTTTGAAATAGCTTAAAAATAGGTGTTTTAATTCATCTAGAATCATAATGGCGATTTAATTTTATTTTCAGATACGGTTAAGCGGAATGTCACAGTATTCTGGAGAAAGTGATACCGAGTCAACGGGAGAAACTGAATATTTACAATATAAGTGTCACATTTGTCAGTTTGTACCAGATATTAATGAGTTAATTCATATTCTTGAAAAAGTAGTTGACATTGGGCCTTATCTAATTTCTCTTAGAAATGGGCAGTTTTATGTTCGATGTCAGTTCGCTGACTGTGAACGGTATTTTCATCTATTATGTATTCATCCAACATTTCCAGATGAAGCATTAAATTATTCACATTTAGATACATTGAAAGAAAGTGGGATACACTGTCCAGTCTGTGAGCCAGGGATAAAAATTGTAAATTATTAACTATTTTTCAAATATGTTACCACTGGGCCAAACAATGGTAACTTTTGCTCAAAGCAATCAAAAGGAAAGCCGTGTGTTAGCTAAGAAAATGGTGGTTCAGAATTCTCTTTTAAAACTCATAAAGGTTATGGAACAAGAACAAGTGACTGATACGAGTATTAACCATGACATAAATAATAACAACAAAAAACTACAATGAGTTGACACCTTCAAATATTTGTAATAAACCAAAATTTTTCAGAAACAGAATATAATAATGAATCAATGGAAGTCGGGTCTACGTGTGTGGAAGACAGTGAATCTGTGTGTTATAAGGCACAAAGATATTAATACAGAAAGGACTGAACAAGTTATAAATGGTGGAAATAGTGAGCAAATATCTACTTTAGAAAACAGTGAATCTGTAATCTATAACAAAATTGATTCGATTATCTGTGCTGAAAACAGTGAATCAACAATGAAAACAGAAAACAATGAGTCATGCGCCAATTTAGATAACAGTGAACCGGTGTCAAACACTGAAATATATAAAGATTTTATAGAACTTGAAATATTTGTTCAAAGTGGAGATGCTGAGACTGACATTGAGATTGAAAAGATCGTTGGAATTGTAAAACGCTGATAACAGTGTAAATGTGTTTGATGATCGTTCCAATGCAGCAACTGATCAAAATAGTGAATTAGATATTTCTCTGAATTGCAAAGAGTCAAATGTTACTATATTGGATGAATTTAATGGCAGTGTTGTAGCAGGTGTTAATGATGAATCGATTTGGTGGTAAAGAAACTGAGATTGACGAATACTTTCAACAAGCATATTCTGTCATAGGTGAAAGTTCTTTCATTGGAAACAATAGAGACAAAAATAGTGTAAACGATATTACAACAAATGTTGAAAATGAAACATGTTTTGGATCTAGGAGAAAATGAAGAATATGAAAAGATATAAATAATGACAAAGATGCAAATGACCCAGATTATAATCCTAGTGAAGAGGGTGAATACGCGTCACCATCGGAAGACGATATTGATCATGAAGAAACCGTAGAAAATGAATCTGTAAAGGCAAATGATAAACAAAATGGAAAAGGAGAAAGGCAGAGACATCGTAATAAACAGTTGCGTATGTCAGGGAATGCATACAAAGGAATGAAAAAAGTGGATGGGAAGTGGGGATTCCATGTTGAAAAGTCCGCAAGGACGTTGTCTGAAAAAAAGGTGTTCATCACGCTGCCAAACCTCTAATATAAAAAATTGCAAAACCGTAACAGAAGCAGATAGGAGAGAGATATTTACTAATTTTTGGACAAACATGAACAACATGGGATGAAAGGCGTGTATATGTAAACTCGCTTATAAATGCTAAAGCAGTGGAGGAACCTACACTTGAAAAATGGAAAACCAAGTAGAAGAACTCGAACCCTCACATACCATCTAAGAATTAATGAAGAGCGTATTGTCGTATGTAAACAACTATTTTTGTCAACTCTTGGACTAGGGGAGCAGACAGTATATCAATGGATAGAACAGTCAATATCGGGTGTACCAGATAGATCAGCTGAGAAAAAGCAGAAGCAGTCAGGTAGTAACATGCCATTTAAATGTTTAATACAATTTCTAAATCCCAATTTCTTCTCTATATAAAAAAGTGAGTTTTTAAATTAGTGAATGAATAAATTTGTGGGAGTGTGAATGAATAAATTAGTGCGTGCGTGCGTAAGAGTGCGTGAGTTGGTGTGTGTGTTAGTGAGTGAATTACAATATGAATGAGTATCAGTTTAAGTGAATGAGTGATTGACTGAAATATTAAATGTGTTGTTAGCACTTTATAAAAGATATTTGATGCCTTTCTTTTTCAGATACAAGAAAGAAAGCTCAAGAAGAAAGACACGGCCAGCTACGTATGAGTGTCAAGCAATTTCTTGAAAGCATCCCTAGAATGGAATCTCATTATTGCCGTTCATCGACTTCGAAGACCTACCTTGAACCTGTATTTAACTCTCTGACCTGCTTGTATAAAGAATACGTGAAACATTGTAATGAAAGGGTATGTGCGAGTCGTAGAGTATTTACCGAAGTTTTTCGAGAGCCTAAATATTGGTCTATTTGTGCCAAAAAAAGGACCAGTGTGATATCTGTGTAGGTTTTGATGCAGGTAATATATCCGCTGATATTTACAACGAACATCAGAATAGAAAAATAAAATTCACGAGAGGAGAAAAACCGTGACAAGTTATTTTGTCAAACAAACCACTCAGTGAAAGTTCTTACAATGGACGTACAAGCAGTTCTACTTTCGCCAAAAATGAATGCAAGCGCATTGTATTATAAAACCAAATTAGCATGCCATAATTTCACTTTGTATGACCTTATAACGAAGCAGGCGACCTGCTACTTTTGGCATGAAGGAATGGGGGATCTTTCGGCTAATTCCTTTGCTTCTTGCTTGGCTGACTACATTGAAAAAATGATTTCCAAAGATGAAGAAATCAAAAACACATCATTTATATATAGTGATGGATGTACCTATCAAAATAGGAACTTGGTAATGTCAAACACTTTATGTCACTTGGCTATGACTCTTGACCTTGAAATCACACAAAAGATCCTCGAAAAAGGCCATACTCAAATGGAGGTGGATTCAGTACACAGCGTAGTGGAGAGGAAAATAAAGAACAAGAATGTTTATGTGCCACAACAGTATGTTGACTTCATCAAGGAAGCCTGTCCCTCTAACCCATATATCGTTGAATACGTTGGCTACGATTTTTTCAAAGCATACTCGGAGTTGGGCTACTATGTTTCAATTAGACCTGGGACTAGGGTTGGAGACCCAGTGGTTAGTGACATTAGAGTTCTTCACTACGAAGCAGATGGTTCTGTACGCTATAAATTGAATTATAGAGACTCATTTAAGGAACTTCCAAGAAAATCTAGAAAATCTTATGTTAAACATACAGAGATAATACCAAAGTTGCACGGTGGTCCTTTGAAGATAAAGAAAACGAAGTTCGACCATTTACAGGCACTTAAAAGTGTTCTTCCAATGGATTATCATGGGTTTTATGACCACCTGAAACATGATTCTTAAAAACTATGAAAAACGAAATGTATACAGGTGTTTCGTTATGGGACCTTAGTTAAACTATAATTTTCTCTTGACAGTAATATGAAAGTGCCATTTTATTCATTTGAAGTAAAAAGTACTAAATTCATAAATAGTGAATTTAAAGACTGAGAAAGATTGATGTTTCAGTCAATAATGAAGTTAATTAATTTTGTTTGTTTTATTTGTTCAAGTTGAATTTCAAAGTTTTAAAGATTTGAGTGAGTGAGTGCGTGTGCGTCTGTGCGTGTGCGCGTCGCGAGTGTGCGTGCGTACGTGTGCGTGGCGTGCGTGCGTATGTGCGTGTGTGTGTGTGTGTGTGTGTGTGTGTGTGTGTGTGTGTGTGTGTGTGTGTGAATGCATAAAAAGACTGAGGAAAGTTGATGTTTAATTCAATTGTTATGTCAAAAGTTAACAGTTTATTAACCAACTCTGTTTAATTTGTTCAAGTTAAATATCAATACTTCAAGGTTTCAAGTTGTTAAAAATAAAAACAATGTTCATGAAAAATGATATTATATTGTTATTCTACTTCTAAATAAATGCAATTCTTTGATTATCCCTTATGGTCAAAATGTCGTATATGCTATTTTTTAAGGTCAAATTGTCGTACACTCTATATGTCAAAACTGATCAAACCAACTCATAAAAATCAATTATATATTAAAACGTACTATTCATGTTACCACTATACAGGAATTGTTTCCACAGAAGGTTCTTTTAGAAAGAAAGAAATCAAAAAAATGTTCCTCCTGAAAAGTAGCAAAAACTGTTATACGAGATTTTGACCCCCCAACGACGATATCTTATTTGCCACACCTCATATATCTTTTAAGTTTCAAGCAAATGCCTGCGTTAGTTTCAGAATTATTCAAGTACATGTTAAAATTTAAGAACATTTTCTAAGTCAATTTTTGACTTTCAAGTGTGACCTTGACCTTTAGCTGGCACAAAGGTGACATGGATTCTGCACATAACCTTGTTGAGGTGAAAATTTGAGTAAAGATTGAAGAAAATTCTTCCATTAGTATTGGATTTATAGAGCGGACACAACATTTTGTCTAATATTTGATTGTATGTAAATTTGAAGACTTAAAAAGGGGCATAACTTTGTTAAAATGCAATGCAGAGTTATGAAACTTAAACAAACAGCATATCGGAATTGTGACCTTTCAAAAATATTTTAAGTTTCAAGCAATACCTTTTCTAAATTTAAAAATATTCAAATAAATGTTAAAATTTAAGAATATTTTCTAAGTCAATGTTTGACCTTCAAGTGTGACCTTGACCTTAAGCCAGCAAAAGAGTGACATAAGTTCTGCACATCCCCTTGTTGAGATGAACATTTGAGCCAAGATTGAAGAAAATCTTTCAACTAGTGTAGGACTTACAGAGCGGACATGACATACTGTGTAATATTAGATTGTTTGATATTTGACCTTCAATTGTGACCTTGACCTTGAGCTGACACATGGGCAACATGGGTTCTGCACATCCCCTTGTTGAGATAAACATTTGAGCCAAGATTGAAGAAAATCTTTCAACTAATGTAGGACTTACAGAGCGGACATGACAAACTGTGTAATATTAGATTGTTTGATATTTGACCTTCAATTGTGACCTTGACATTGAGCTGACACATGGGCAACATGGGTTCTGCACATCCCCTTGTTGAGGTGAATATTTGAGCCAAGTTTGAAGAAAATCTTTCCATTAGTGTAGGACTTACAGAGCGGACACAACATACTGTGTAATATTTGATCGTAATATTTGATCGTTTGATATTTGACCTTCAATTATGACCTTGACCTTGAGCTGGTTCATGGGCAACATGGGTTCTGCACATCCCCTTGTTGAGGTGAACATTTGAGCCAAGTTTGAAGAAAATCTTTCAAGTAGTGTAGGACTTACAGAGCGGACATGACATACTGTGTAATATTTAATTGTTTGATATTTGACCTACAATTGTGACCTTGACCTTGAGCTGACACATGGGCAACATGGGTTCTGCACATCCCCTGGTTGAGGTGAACATTTGAGCCAAGTTTGAAGAAAATCTTTCAAGTAGTGTAGGACCTTCAGAGCGGACATGACATACTGTGTAATATTAGATTGTTTGATATTTGACCTACAATTGTGACCTTGACCTTGAGCTGACACATGGGCAACATGGGTTCTGCACATCCCCTTGTTGAGGTGAACATTTGAGCCAAGTTTGAAGAAAATCTTTCAAGTAGTGTAGGACTTACAGAGCGGACACAACATACTGTGTAATATTTGATGGTGTTTGATATTTGACCTTCAATTGTGACCTTGACCTTGAGCTGACACATGGGCAATATGGGTTCTGCACATCCCCTTGTTGAGGTGAACATTTGAGCCAAGTTTGAAGAAAATCCTTCAATTGGTATAGGAGTTATAGAGCGGACACGAAAATGGAGACGGACCGACCGACCGACGGACGGACCGACGCGACAAAGCGAATCCATTATAGCCCCCCCCCCCCACATTTTGTGGTGGGGGTATAATAACCATAGAGTCTTTAAGCATTATCAGTGCGGTGAAAACAGAAATACTTTTCAACCATTTCCATGGAGCGAGACTAATTTACCGCCTTGGGAGAAACCAGACGGAACTGTTGATAGAGATTTAAAATTAGCATATGATCAGCATAGACATTTGATTTTAAAACAAAAGATTACGGAACTGACAAATGAAGTAAGATATAACTTTCCTGTAACGAACGATTTAACAGTTGATGAAATGTTACAACAAATCGATGAAATTTATTTTAATACTGAATTTTCTTTCAAAGTTAATATTTCTTTTGGAACAGTACTAGTAAATGTAGAAACTAATAAATACAGATATTTCGCGCCTTACTATAACCAAACACTTTTTACTCAACCGATTGTAATAAGTGAACGCGAAGACATACATAAATTAGAAAATGAGATTAAATCGCTGGATGTTATAAATTATATAACTCAACAAAGGCCTGATACAAAGTTTAAGCCTGTTATGATAACAAATATTTTGTATACAATATACAAAGCTTCATATCCGCTAGGGAGATGTAAAAAGTTACCTAACTTTATACATAAAAACAAATAAATCTTTCCTTTTGACTGTCATCCAGTTTCTAAAAGATTATATGATGATGAAAAATGTTTTTTTAGGTGTTTAGCTTACCATTATAAAGGTAGTGTATTTATTGAAAAAAGGGCAAACGTTTTGTATGATCAATGGTTAACATATTGTCAGGAAAATAAACTCAAATCTAGTGATATAACTTTTAAAACAATGTGCTTTGCTGAAGTTTGTTTCGATATAAATATTAATATTTATTCGCTTTATATTGATAAAACAATCAAACCCCTTTACAAGTCAAGGTTAAAACAAAATAACGGAAAAATATAATGTGTTTGAATGCTTATGAAAACAACTTGAGTTATATAACAAAGTTTAATTTGTTTGCACACAAGTTTAAATGTAAAGATTGTCTTAAATTATTTCCTTATCAGTCTAGACTGAAAATGCATGAACAATCGTGTAAGAGAAAAAAGAAACCGTTTCGATTTCCAGGTGGATATTTTAAACAACAGAAAACTATATTCGATAAAATTGAGGACTTTGGTATTAAGATTCCTTCCGATTTGAAAACATTTCCTTCTTTCAGCGTATTTGATCTAGAGTCGGTTTTAGTTCCAACTACTGAAAAGCAAACTGATAGTAAATTACAAAAGACAAGTAGTCATGTACCAATATGTGTATGTTTGTGTAGTAATGTCCCTGGCTATACAAAAGAACGATTTATTTTTAATGAAAATTTGGATGATTTATTAAATGAAATGTTATCCTATTTAACGAAAATTTCAGAAACGGTTAAAGAATTATACTTTTCTCGTTGGAAAATTGTATTAGATGAATTAGATAAATTAGAGGAAAAAGAATGTGGAAATATAGATTTGATGACTGAATCAATTGAAAGTGATAGTGATGAAGACAACATTAACTTTAAGCAAAGTAACAATAGT